GAGCGAGAAACAGTGGGCTGAGAGGTTATTCTCGAATGAGAAGAGCTGAATTGATCGCTTTACTAGATAATAATCAACCTATTGATAATGTTGAGAATCAACCTAATAATGATGATAATCAACATCAAGAATTAATATTTGTACCCACATCCGCCGGCGTTGGTAAATATCTAAGAGGTTGGAAGATGGATATTAATTCCAACATGGATGTTAACGATATTAAGCCCATCATATCGAGTAAAATTAACGAGGAATTAGATGATTTACATAGTATAAAATACCAGCTGACGATTAAAATGACATTGAGTAAAAGTAACACAGACGATAGCACCGAATATACCGAACCATATTTCCGTAGCAATCAAGAAGTTATAACCGAATCCGATACTATAAACGCATCATTAGATACATCAATTCAGAGGATACAGGAAACTTTAGAACGCTGGACTAATAGAGGTTCGGGTTGGGGTGTTGATAAAATCGATAGTTTATATTTAGATATAGCAAATTATATGCCTTTCAAAGGTGGATCTTATATAGATTTACCTCCGTATTATAAGAAGAAAAAAGCCATAATTAACGTAAAAAATAAATCCGATGACTGTTTAAGAATGATGATAAGATCTGCATTGTTCCCCGTAGATTCTAAAATTGCAAATAGACCTTCTAGCTATCCCCAAAACGATGGACTCAACTTCGATGGTATAGACGAACCTACACCAATATCACAAATTGATAAGGTAGAAAAGCAAAATAATTTAGCTATAAATGTTTTCAGACATTCTAAAGGAATTGTTGTACACAGGATAAGCTCCGCTCCGGAAAATATCCCCAGAATCAATTCATTTCTGATCGAAAAAGATGGTAAATATCATTATACGTGGATAAAGAGTTTAAACAGGCTACTATACGATCAAACAAAACATGCTAGAAAGAAATATTTCTGTGAAAGATGCCTGCATGGGTACAGCAGACAAGATCTATTAGAAGCGCATAAAGAAGACTGTAGAGGTGTTGGACAGAATGCTATCAGGATCGATATGCCTAAAGAAGGAAAAAATATATTAAAATTTGAACATTATTGTAATCAAATGCCAGTACCGTACATAATTTACGCCGACTTCGAAGCGCTTATCAAACCCATAGAAAATAATCAAGATAATAATCAAGATAATAGTTTTACGTACAAAACTCAAGAACATATTCCTTGTGGGTTTGGATATATAGTTGTAAGGTATGATGGGAAAACAAACCCGCCCGTGATTTACAGAGGTCCCGATGCAGCGGGAAAGTTCCTAGAATATCTACAAAATGAAGAGAGAATAATCAGGGAAAAATTATCGTGTAAGATACCCATGCGTATGACGAGGGATGATTGGAGTGCTCATAAGAAGTCAACGAGTTGTCACGTTTGTAATAAACCCCTGGATGGGGATTCCGTAAGAGATCATTGTCACGTCACGGGTAATTATCGGGGAGCCGCTCATAACGAGTGTAACTTGAAACTAAAAATGAACTCTCAAACAATACCCATCCCCGTTGTGTTTCATAACCTTAGGGGATACGATTCACATCTCATTATGCAAGCTATCTCGAAGACCGACGGCGGTTTAACTTGCATTCCTAATAATATGGAAAAATACATATCGTTCTCGTTGACTAAACCTATACATTATAGGGACAAGGATGGGAAATCTAGAACAAAGCAAAGTAATGGGCTTAGATTCATAGACTCCGTACAGTTTCTGTTATCTTCCCTGGACAATTTAGCTAATGCGAACAATCCCGATGACTTTGCGATAACAAATAAATATACCGATAAGATAACACGTCATTTGTTGCTGAGAAAAGGTGTATATCCTTACGAATATATGGATGATTGGTCTAGATTCGAAGAAACTGAATTACCACCCCTCGAATCATTCTATAGTAACTTAACAGAATCTAGAATAACAGATGCCGATTATGAACACGCTCTGACGGTGTGGGATAAATTAGGTTGTAAGAATTTAGGTGATTATCACGATCTGTACTTAAAAACCGATGTACTGTTACTCGCCGATATATTCGAGATATTTAGAAAGACATGTTTCAAACAATATGGCTTGGATCCGGCATGGTACTATTCCAGTCCCGGACTATCGTGGGATGCATTGTTGAAGAAGACCGGCATAGAACTAAAACTACTCACAGATTACGATATGCACTTGTTTATTGAGAAAGGATTAAGAGGTGGTATATCGATGGCAGCTAAAAGGTATTCTAAGGCTAATAATAAATTAGTGGAAGGATACGATCCTAGTAAACCCGACACCCACATATTATATCTCGACGCCAACAATTTGTACGGATGGGCTATGAGTCAACCTTTACCCACGGGTGGTTTTGAGTGGGTCAATGATATCAATGTGAATAATATCCATAATATCAATAATAATGATGTGAATAAAGGGTACATACTAGAAGTTGACTTGGAATATCCAAGTTCGTTACATAAAGACCATAACAGTTATCCGCTAGCTCCCGAAAGATTAATGGTTAATAAAGATTGGATGTCGGAATATCAACGCTCCTTGATGGGTAATAGTAGGTTAGCTAACGTAGAAAAACTCGTACCAAATTTGATGGATAAGACAAAATATATAGTTCACTTCAGAAATCTCCAGTTGTATCTATCGTTAGGTATGAAACTTAAGAAAATACACAGAGTTCTAAAGTTTGATCAAAGCCCTTGGATGGAGCCCTATATAAGGTTGAACACAGATTTAAGAAAGATAGCTACCAGCGATTTCGAAAAGAATCTATATAAGCTCATGAATAACTCGGTATTTGGTAAAACTATGGAGAATCTAAGGAAGCGTGTTGATGTTAAATTAGTCAGATCTAATGAGGAAGAAAGACTCAGGAAACTTATAGCCAGTCCGGCTTTTAACAGAAGCAAGATATTTGATAACGACTTAGCCGCGTTGCATATGCAGAAGAGTAATATAAAATTCAACAGACCGGTGTACGTTGGTATGAGTATTCTCGACTTGTCAAAACACTTAATGTATGACTTTTATTACAACGAACTTAAGAAGCAATACGGCGATAGATGCGAGGTGTTATATACCGACACAGATTCTTTGTTGATGGAAATACAAACCGAGGATGTGTATAAAGATATGGCAGAAAAAATAGATATGTACGACACGAGCGATTACCCAAAAGATAATCCACTGCACAGCGTAGTAAATAAAAAGGTGTTAGGTAAGATGAAGGATGAATGTGCTTGGACCCCTATAGCGGAGTATGTGGGATTAAGACCTAAGATGTATTCTATAAAGAAGTCCGATAATGGAGAGATAAGAAAAGCTAAGGGCGTTAAGAAGTATGTTGTAAAAAAGCATATCAAACACGAACAGTATAAAGAATCATTATTCAACGGTAGAACGTTCAAACACGAGATGAACTCTTTAAGAAGTTACGATCATAGGATATATGGATTAAGAATGAACAAGACATCACTATCCCCCTTAGATACAAAGAGATGGATTGATAATGATGGTGTAACTACCTATGCTTATGGTTATGGTGGTAATACCGTACCGTCGGGAACTATGAACAACTCTTCTCGTACAAATGCCCTACCCGGTCCATCTTGAAGATAATAAAGAATGGGCTCTCCTTCTTTCGTAACCAATCTACTAATGTTATACGTCTTAAGGGACCATATGGGATCGGTTGCGCGACGTAGGCCTCCTTCGAGTTCACCGGCCTGGTATAAATATCTTACCCTTACTCTATCCGGAAGTTTTCGTTCTTTGCCTCTCCTCGGTGCTGAAGATTCGGAAGTCACGGATTTCATTTTAATAGCATGGGATGGTTTCTTCCCTATTAATCTCGTTACTTCATTATTCAGCGCTGATACAACGGCTGATAATCGTGTCACCCATTCGGTTGATCTCAATCGCTCGGATTACATTTCGATCCCATACTGATAGACAAACAAACATTCCGCTAATGTCCGGTTAAATCTTTCAACGATAGCTTGACTGCGGTGGGCTTCTCTTTCACCACGGACGATTTCGACATCATGCTTTGTTAACAGTTTAGTTACCGATCCCATAAACTCGCGACCGGGATCTACTTGAAATAGCTTAGGCCATTTTAGCGGTCCGCGTTTATATATGCGACTCAGTGCATTAGCTACCTCCGTTGATTCTTTCGAGGTTAATGGCTCAGCCTCTTTGTATCGACTAGCCACATCCACTACCGTTAAAGCGTATTTATACGTTTTGCGTTTTACCTTATCGTGGGGAAGAAACAAGAGGTCAGCCTGATGAACTTCATTCGTTGTAAAAATATCAAACTTCTTCCTCGGTATATAACGCGGTGCCGGTAAGTATATCTGCCACATCGCTTGTTTCTTTAACCAATCCTTGGCCACATCTTTAGATACCTTAGCCGCGGTGGCTAATTTTTTTATTGCTCCTACACCTTTCCAATATCCTCGTGGGCTATAGTAAATTTTATCCATTATTAATTAATATTGATATTTCTTTTAAAACGACTTTCGTTGAATCACATCACTAATAGAAGCAATGATTGGCCCCAGGTATTGGTGAGCTAGAGCCAATTTAACTTAATCTTATGACTATCATTAAATCGCATCATCATTTTGGCATAAAAAATTCCTCCTGTAGTAGCAGTATAGGTATATGAATCCTGCTCCAGTGGAGTTGCGGCAGAACCATCATTACCTATACTACTAGTTGGAATATTGCTGTATGCGGCATTAAACAACAAACAAACAAACATTAGGAGGAGGAAACAAGGACTGGCCAGCTCTGATTCAGTATACTGTTTCTGAGTGTGGCATACATCATGATACATGTTAAACTGTGGCATGGTATCTCTGACTGGCATTAGTGCGGACGAGTACCAGCAGCCTCACACACATGCATGCCATAAGAGTAAAACACCTTTCACTTATGTGAACCCTTTATGTTCACTTCCAGATAGCTAATGGGCAGAGAGACAAGATACAGGCCTACCACCTACAGAAGAGGCAGTTCATTGGTGAGACTTGGTATTACAAGCTATGTTATCCCTGTGTTACCCAGGTAGGCAGTCTGAAAGTATACTCCACTTGAAGTATATCTTGCCAGGTGCTGGGAGCTTAATCAGGTACTCCCCTCCAAGTATAACTGGTGAGGTACTGGGAGCTTAATCAGGTACTCCCCTCCAAGTATAACTGGCAAGGTACTGGGAGCTTAATCAGGTACTCCGCTCCAACTATTACTGGCGAGGTTCTGGGAGCTTAATCAGGTACTCCCCTCCAAGTATAAGTGGTGAGGTTCTGGGAGCTTAATCAGGTACTCCCCTCCCAGTATAACTGGTGAGGTACTGGGAGCTTAATCATGTACTCCCCTCCAAGTATAACTGGCGAGGTACTGGGAGCTTAATCAGATACTCCCCTCCAAGTATAACTGGCGAGGTACTGTGAGCTTAATCAGGTACTCCCCTCCAAGTATAACTGGCGAGGTACTGGGAGCTTAATCAGGTACTCCCCTCCAAGTATAACTGGTGAGGTACTGTGAGCTTAATCAGGTACTCCCCTCCAAGTATAACTGGCGAGGTACTGGGAGCTTAATCAGATACTCCCCTCCAAGTATAACTGGTGAGGTACTGGGAGCTTAATCAGGTACTCCCCTCCAAGTATAACTGGTGAGGTGCTGGGAGCTTAATCAGGTACTCCCCTCCAAGTATAAGTGGTGAGGTACTGTGAGCTTAATCAGGTACTCCCCTCCAAGTATAACTGGCGAGGTACTGGGAGCTTAATCAGGTACTCCCCTCCCAGTATAACTGGCGAGGTACTGTGAGCTTAATCAGGTACTCCCCTCCAAGTATAACTGGCGAGGTACTGGGAGCTTAATCAGATACTCCCCTCCAAGTATAACTGGTGAGGTACTGTGAGCTTAATCAGGTACTCCCCTCCAAGTATAACTGGTGAGGTACTGGGAGCTTTATCAGGTACTCCCCTCCAAGTATAACTGGCGAGGTACTGGGAGCTTAATCAGGTACTCCCCTCCAAGAATAACTGGCGAGGTTCTGGGACCTTAATCAGGTACTCCCCTCCAAGTATAACTGGCGAGGTACTGTGAGCTTAATCAGATACTCCCCTCCAAGTATAACTGGCGAGGTACTGGGAGCTTAATCAGATACTCCCCTCCAAGTATAACTGGCAAGGGACTGGGAGCTTAATCAGATACTCCCCTCCAAGTATAACTGGCGAGGTGCTAGGAGCTTAATCAGATACTCCCCTCCCAGTATAACTTGCGAATTACTGGGAGCTTAATCAGGTACTCCCCTCCAAGTATAACTTGCAAATTACTGGGAGCTTAATCAGGTACTCCCCTCCAAGTATAACTTGCGAGATACTGGGAGCTTAATCAGATACTCCCCTCCAAGTATAACTGGTGAGATACTGGGAGCTTAATCAGATACTCCCCTCCAAGTATAACTGGCGAGGTTCTGGGAGCTTAATCAGGTACACACCCCCTCCTTGGGGATTCCGGGTTAGAATGTTCCCACTAACCTATGCTTGTCATAAGAGGCGACCAAATGGATAGAGTGTTCAGGCTCAGTAACGTGGTTGATTGTGTGTCCTCGTACCTGACAGCTTGGATCATTGCTCACAATATCAATCACTGGATTGTCTGGCCCATACTGCCATCAGTTAGCTGAAACATTGCTGAGTGCAGCATTAAACAACAAACAAGCAAACCTAATCAAGGACCACTTTGGGATTATTTTCAAATTTGTTGATGGAACAACAGACTGAACACTGAACAACAGTTACTGAATAGCTGAACACCTCCATCTCTCATTTCACAATGAACACATGAACTATGAGCATGATGAGTTAACTCGTCAGTGCTTGTGAGACAAGATACTCCACCACTGTTTCAGGGAACACCAGCATGGACGCCTGTCTCTCCCTCATCATGGCCAACATGGGGCTGGTCAAGGAAAACACCTTCGTCTTTGACCCCTTCGTGGGGACAGGTGGGTAGAACAGTTTTAGTTTTCCTCTTGCATATTAAGATAGTCATACCATTTGTTATCTGTCCAAAGCGCTGCATTTCGCTGGCCAGAGTTGTGTCCCTTGAGCATTGTAGAAACCTGATTGTTGGATCGAATTCCATTTATGTTTCTAGGTTTGTCAGCACCATATCCATGCTCCCGTTGGGTTTCACCCAAAGTGGTAAACATCTGAGACTAACTCTGATTATTAAGACTATGAGAAAGATGGTGATGCTGTCAGAATCAACAGTACATGTATTATGACAATTGTGCATGGTACTGGATAATTCATATAGGAGCCTTTGAAATACATGTTAGACCGGAAGCCTGACACTAATTAATTGTGAGGACAAGTAAGAATCCAATGATAGTAGTCCTCATTTACCAGCAGCATTTGATGGTTATGATTCTAAACCAGTTCTCATGCTTCAATTTTGCTACCAATTGGGACTGAATAAAGCTGACAGAAACCATAGTAACCATTTCTGTCTCTTACAAGCAGGTCTAGCTTCAAACTGTGAGGGGGGTGGTCGGGTAGCCTAGTGGTTAAAGCGTTCACTCGTCATGCCGAAGACCCGGGTTCGATTCCCAAGATGGGTACAATGTGTGAAGCCCATTTCTGGTGTCCCCACCGTGATAGTGCTGGAATATTGCTAAACGCGGCGTAAAATCAAACTCACTCACTCACTCAAACTCTGAGGACAAGTCAGATAAAGTTTACACTACACCTGTTGATTAGTCTTTAAAATAATAAAGTTTGAAGGCTGTTTAGTTTTGCATGATAACACATTTGGATGATAAAATACATCTGACTGCACTATTCTCATGTCACAGGGAGTCTGTTGGTGGCGAGCGCCCACTTCGGTGGCTATGTGATGGGTACAGACATCGACTACCTCCTGCTGCATGCTCGGGGTGAGGACAAGCAGTTGTCATTGTTACAGTTTCCCCAGCAGCATTAGACCTTGAAACAATAGTCACAGCAATGGCCAATGTTTTTACCCCCATGGGGATTCCAGGTTAGAATAGGTCCCCAGCAACCTACGCTGGTCCATCCCATGGGGATTCCAGGTTAGAATAGTCCCCAGCAACCAATGCTGGTCCATCCCATGGGGATTCCAGGTTAGAATAGATCCACAGCAACCTACGCTGGTCCACCCCGTGGGGATTCCAGGTTAGAATAGGTCCCCAGCAACCTACGCTGTTCCACCCCGTGGTGATTCCAGGTTAGAATAGGTCCCCAGTAACCCACGCTGGTCAATCCACGGGGATTCCAGGTTAGAATAGGTCCCCAGCAACCTACACTGGTCATAAGAGGGGACTTATGGAATTGGTTGGTTGGAATCGATAACTTGTGTGATTGCATGTCATTGTACACTGATGGTGTTGATCGTTCACTAACCAGGTACTTGCTGTGTATGTTGTTGCAGGCAAGCCGAGCCGACACAATCAGACCAAGAGGGATCCGGGGGAGAGTATCCGAGCCAACCTTCGTCAGTACGGGTTCGAGAAGGCCTACATTGATGTGTTGGTGGGAGACGCTTCCAAGTACAAGATGTGGAGGCATCAGGGAATGTTTGATGCAATCATTACTGATCGTAAGTTGTTTCCTTGTCCATTCATTGCTGTAGACAATGTTGTGTTATTATCAATCATCAAGCATTATTAATTGGTAGTGCAAATGTTTTCATTACACACTTCTGCATGCGTACTCTTTGTCTGTAGTGAAGTTCAACAGATGTGAGGCTTGGTGTGGTGGAGAGCAGGGCAGGGATGAACATCTAGCATAATTTATAAACTATAAACTGGCGCTTGCTATAAAATGCACCGCCGAAGTCTATATCTAGTAAGCAAATATTGAAAAGATGATACATCACTGAGAGGGGCTTATGCACACTTGAAGACCAAAGCATCCTGTTGATATAGGCTGACGTCACTCGGCATTGTTTCGCTGGTGTGTTTTTCTTTTCAACAAATTACATCATAGAGTGACCTGTGAAGATCCGGGGTAGAATAGGTCTTCAGCAACCCATGCTTGTCGTAAAAGGCGACTAACGGGATCGGGTGGTCAGGCTCGCTGACTTGGTTGATGCATGTCATCGATCCCAATTGAGTGGATTGATGCTCATGATGTCAATCACTGGTTTGTCAGGTCCAGACTCAATTATTTACAGACCGCCGTCATATAGCTGGAATATTGCTGAGTGTGGCATAAAAAAACAAAAACAAAACCAAAAACAAACATCATAGAGTATTTGTCGTGTTTGTAAACACGTGTGGTGCTGAATTCTAAAGGTAGGCCCTGATTATTGGTTAAGGAGGCTCTTTTTGCCCAGAAGGTATTCTTATTAACCATCGCCGTAAGTTTTAATCCCCCAGTTGTTCTGCTAGGTCTGAGGACGTGTGTGTGAATCTGACCTGTGTATTCTATGTCTAGCTCCCTATGGCATCAGAGAACCAGCCAAGAAGATCGGCAACAATGAGAAGGAGATCCCAGAGGATGAGTCAGTATAGCAGCTTGTTACTTTATAGGAGATCCATGAAGATCTTGGTTAGAATTGGTCTTCAGCAACCCATGCTTGTCATAATTGGCGACTAACAGCATTGGGCGGTCAGGCTCGCTGACTTGGTCAATGAATGTCATTGTATCCCAATGTGCATAGATCATTGTATCCCAGTTGCATAGATCGATGCTCATGATATCAATCACTGTATTGTTTGGTGCAGACTACCATCATGTAGCCGAATATTGTTGAGTGCATTGCTAAATAACAAACAAAAGTTCATAGGGACCACATTTGTGGGGAAGCTTGGCATTCTTTGAAAACAAATTGTTCCATAAATACCAGAAAAAATATTTTTGCTTCCAATTTTTGCAGTTTGTATATATATTTATGCATGAAGAGGATTTTCAGTGGAAATAGGTGAGAGCAGTTGTAGGGAATACACATTTTGGTTATTATTTTATGAGCTTCACCTTTTGTGCTATTTTGATGTAATTTGTCAAATAAGTAAAAGACAGAAGAATAAAATAGTTGGCAGTTCTTAATATGCAAACCTACTTGTGATCAGTGTGTTCATCTCCACAGAAGGGAGAACCACATCCCACAGCGCACACAGTACCAGCTGTCTGATATATTCAAGGATCTTCTCAACTTCTCTGCCAAGTTTCTCCGTCTTCACGGTCGTCTCGTCTTCTGGTTCCCCACCATCAGAACGGAGTAAGTAAAGGACACCCTCATGTACCCTGCAGTGTGGTTACTGAACATGACATCTGGATCATTCAGGACACTAGTTTCATAAATCGTGGGTATGTTGCCAGCTTATTGGTCAGTTTAATCACTCCATAAATCTTGTAGATATATAAATGGTTTTGTCTCAAACAAGCTCTAATTGTAGTCCTTAATGGGAGACAAGTTGAGGCTTTAGATTCAGAGCATGTGATACCCCCACTCTCTGTCTTTAGATCAGTGTCGGCATGCCACGAACATTAGTACCTCTGATCTCGGTCTTTAGATCAGTGTAGCTGGGCCAAGAGCATTTAATACCTCTGATCTCTGTATTGTGATGAGTGTAGCTGGGCCAAGAGTATTAGTACCTCTGATCTCTGTCATGAGATCAGTGTTGGCATGCAAAGAGCATTAGTACCTCTGATCTCGGTCTTTAGATCAGTGTAGTCATGCCACGAGCATTTAATACCTCTGATCTCTGTATTGTGATGAGTGTAGCTGGGCCAAGAGCATTAGTACCTCTGATCTCTGTCTTAAGATCAGTGTAGGCATGACAGGTGCTTGTGATACCCTCAATCTAAGTCTTCAGAACAGTGAAGGCATCACACAAGCATTTGATACCTCTGATCCCTATCTTCAAATGACAAGTGCTTATGATACCCCTACTCTCTGTCTTTAGATCAGTGATCAGAATACCTAAGCTTGTCATCATGTTCAGATTATGAGACACATTTATGACATTATCTATTATCCATCTATAATGGCCTGTATCCCCAAGTACATACGAACCCACATAAATATGTGCACATTGACACACACACATGCAAAAACAAGACCTAGACCTAGACCTAGTCTAGTGGTAGAGCGTCAGCCCGGAGAGTGGAAGGTCCGGTGTTCGATCCCCGGCCGCGTCCAGTGTGCGAGCTTAGCCTCAATTTTGTAATTGATATCTTTTCCCGTAAAAACCAAGCCTCGTTCTCAAATGCGACCTACAAACAGTAAATACAATTTGCTAGCAGATGACATATTCACTCTCTAGTTTCTGTCAGCTTGATAAACAGGTTTCTACTAAAACAACTGTGTTTTTGTACTTTTATTAGTTTTCCATGTTACGAAATATATTCACTGAATATTCATGCTTTTCACCTGGGTGATAAGGTTTATTCATTTCATGATGAGGACCATCTTGGATAAAATGTTCCCAACAGTATGCATACCTGACAGGGACGACATGGGCTACCATAATGATACGATGTCTTACATTTTTTCTCAGGAGGAATGCCATCATTCCAGCTTTTGTTTCTATTTCCTTTCTGACTTTTTGGATGGCATAAATGCACACACATTCACAAGATGCAAAATTCTGCGAGCGTTTACAAGTTCTACATAATATTAATGCATACACAAGCCTTATTGGTAAAAATGTACTCTTGATATTTTCCACTTGAAAATTCATTGGTTTTAGAGGCGTCAGAATTCCAATATGTTCATACCTTTCTTGACAAATCTTCAGTGGTGTCAGTTGGAAGTCGCATCATGATAAATAGTTAGTAAGAAACTGGTATTCCAAGTTAGTGCCAAGAAAATAACAGTTGAAACACACAATTTAGCCATGATTGGGCATAAAAATGCAATAGCCAAGGTATAATCCAAAAGTAATCGTCCACCACAACAGAAACAGTAGTATACTGCTACAGCAGATGATGGGTTTGAGCCAATCATTTTACTGATAGAGGTCACATGACTAAAATCTTGACTACTTCCGGTGCTGTGAAGGGTTACTTTTCCTAATTAAAACTAACAAACCAATACATATTTGAGATTTAAGTTCTGATTTATTTAAGCGCAAATGTCTGTTCAGTGTGATAACACTCACAAACTATGTCCAGACAGCTTAAGACAGAAAGAACCAAATGTCAAACACCACAACCTGTAAACCATCAGTTTAGACCCCTGACACACAAATTAGACCCTCAATGACATATCAGTCAACACAAATTTAAACAAACGGTGTAAAACTGCCCTAAAGTAACATATCTGTCATTAGAATGTGATGCTATCAGTAAGGTGCCAGATTTATTTATGTTTCTGGCTGCTCTGTGTGGGACTTCTTGGTCACTTGGAGGGGGAAACTGGGGACTGTCTTTTATCCAATTAAAAACATGTTTACAGTTCTAGCTCCTCCTATTTTAAGTTGGATATAGGAAGCTTAGTGACCAGTGATTGCAGGAAACACAGGAATTGGCCCCTCCTCCCCTTAAGATAGATGGAACCCATATTTTTGTGTATGACTTCTACCCTGTGAGAGAATATTTTGAGGTCACGTGACTTCAATAAACATGTTCTCACAACTTCTACAGTGCATGGATGGGTTATATTTTGGTAGTATTTTGATAAATTGACACATGTGGAAATGGGAAATATATGAAAACATTACATGTTCAAATAGGATTTGTAATAAAAGGTTTATATGAGGTAGGTGTAGAGCCCAGGATTTTTCACTTCCTGTGACAGGGGTTGTGACGTCACTATGGGGATTTTAGCATTGAATCTATTTATAACCTGTGTGAAAGCGAGGCTTGGTTTTCATCTATAAGCAGTAACATAGGCTGAGCTCGCACACTGGTCATACCAAAAGACGTTAAAAGGTGGTACTTGTTGGTACCCTGTCTGGTGCTCGGCATTAAGGGGCTAAAACAAGGACTTGTCGGCTCAGAGTCAGTATACTGTGTCTGAGTGGGGTATTCATGTCAAAACTGCGGCATGGTATCTCAGTGGGCTAGCTACAAGCAGACACACACACACACACACACACACACACACACACACACACATGCACGTCGCTATATAAGTGCAATAATCTTGGACGCGACGTTAAACCCAATTTCACCTCACCTCACATGCAAAAACAAACATGCATGCACAAGGAGAAGCACACACTCACGTGAGAAGACTGATACAAAGCTTGTGTTGCAGGTACTCTGACGCCAACGTGCCACGCCATCCGTGCTTCCACCTGGTGGCCAACTCGGAGCAGTGTCTGACGTCTCGCGTGGGCCGCCGACTCATCACCATGGAGAAGGTGCAGGAACAACAGGTAGGAGGTCACTGGGCACCTTCGTGTGATGTAGTAACTTTTCATTCACTCGAATAGAGTACACTTTTCTTCAAAATGCCTATCAACATGGGCAGTCAATATTTAAATGATTGATAAATGTGCTTGAATTTGTCCTATAGAAGTTGTATCCTTGCCCCGGAACAAGCATATCATAACCCGAGTCCCCAAACAGAGGAAGGCAAAATGAACACAAAATGAACACTAAATGAACACTAAATGAACACAAAATGAACACTAAATGAACACTAAATGAACACTAAACGAAAACAAAATGAACACAAAATGAACACTAAATGAACACTAAATGAACACTAAATGAACACTAATGACACTAATTGAACACTTTTCACATGCATCACATAGAGGTAACTCACATTGTTTTCACAATTTTTGAATATCTTTTTTTTAAAATGATTATCAAGACTTTAATGTTTCAACATTATAGATGCTAAGGTTCTTTAAATGTTGATAGGGTTCCGCTCCTCCTGGTCTGACTTATCATTACAATGACACCAGGTCCTCGTGATAAAATCACTCTCATTTTGACATTACCTGGTACTCATTACCAGTTGCCCATTCACCAGTATCATGTTGTGTATGTGTTTCAGGTGGAGGAAGATGACTTGGGAGCTACGTACGACGTCGACCACTTCGCTGGCGCCTCCTTCCGTGACAGATACTTCAGGTCTTTATCTAGAGACTCATCCCCAAACAGTCCAAGAAATCACAGGAAAAACAATAGCAAAGCTGATGAAGTGTGTGTGGAGAGTAGCACTGACACCCAAACATTATCTGTAGAACAGTCTGACAATGGTGAGACACTGGTAGAACCTGAGAGCAGCACCGGCACATGACAGACTGGTTGAAGTGTATGTTCGGTACACTCTCCCTAGGCACAAGGATAGTTCTGGCAGATGGAAAGTTGATGTACCGGCCAGCATTCTACAAGCATTTATTCAACAGGGCAGATGCCGGGCTGTGGAATGTAGTGCTGTGAGGATACATTTAGTTGTGATACAATTATCTGGATAGGGAACGATAAACATCAAGATACATGGAATCCCAATGGCACAAAAAGGAAATGTATCTACCACCAGTGGGAACTACTTGGGACAAATCCAAAACATATGATGTGAACCTGCATCCAGGAAACCAACAATGGCTTCATAACTAATGTGCAAATCATTGGAAAACAGCATTTTACAATATTCTCATTTCATCGAAACTAAAATGTGCTCCTTATATGTAAATGTATCGTTTTGTATCATACACCGCCTCACGATTGAATACAATATGTCAACGCAAACCTTATCTGATGGACTGAATCTGTGAATCGTTACGATCCAAATGAGGCCTTATATGTTTGGAGTTGGTTTACAAGACCAATTGAGAAATAAAAACTGAAATTAGGAGTAAAAGAAAATGACATTTGACAAAAATAATTTTTAATTACAATTAAAAAACATCTGATTTTATAGTCGCTGTTTGTAATAAATGTGAATAATATACATAAATTTATTCTAGCAAGAAAAAAAATCCTCTTTTTGGTATAATTTAGCAGTGAAACATCTTTGATGGTGTGACCTACAATTTTTTTTTTCATTCATTAGTAGCAGTGCTAATGTGGAAGTTGAAAAGTATCATTTCTTTTTCGACCACCAACATTGTTTTTTAAGCCAGATGTTTTATGAGCCAACTTATAACAAATAAGAAACCCTTTGGTATGTAGGGGAAGAATGGCATGATGGCATGTCACCTTGAGCTTCACTCAGTGTGCACCTTGGGAAATCAAGCCCAGCTTGATGACGCAACACTCTATTATTAGTCAATCACGGCCCTAGTGGAATGGTTACTGCAAGGAAGCTGTGATATCACCATCTGAACATGTTCCTTTACCTTCACTGGGACATGATCTTGATTGTAGTCATGGCTGCATGATGCCTACAGGTAAAGGTCAGCCGTTTTGTGTCATTAGAACAAGAGCTTGTTTCTCTTTCATAATTAGAAATATATTTAAGATGTTGAAATTGTGCATTAATATGTCAAATGTGTCTGTGATATGCCAAATAAATAGTCATCCTTTTGTTATTTATTATCCCCTGCCCCAAGAAGATGGAATACATCGACCAAATGCTTAGGTTATCAATCTTGTTTGTTTGTTTTTGAACGCTGCATTCAGCAATATTCCAGCTATATGATGGCGGTCTGTAAATAATTGAGTCTGGACCGGACGATCCAGTGATTGACATGAGCATCAATCCACGCAATCTGGACCACCCGATCACATTAGTCACCTCTTACAACAAACAAAGTCTCCTCTTACATCAAGCATGGGTTGCTGAAGACCTATTCTCTACCTATCTTTACACGTCCTAATCAATCTTTACATAAGGTGTCAATATTTATGATGTTATTCATAGGGAAAAGATGTTTTCATAATTTGCTATGGAAACAACATCTGACAAATCTTCATGAAATTTTGAAATACATTAACCATGAGTATGAAGGTATGGTCACTGGACAGTCATTGGTTACCCAACACACACCTGATGTGATGCAAGATCGTCATTGGCTACCCACCACACACCTTATGTGATGCAAGATCGTCATTGGCTACCCACCACACACCTGATGTGATGCAAGATCGTCACTGGTTACCAAACACACACCTGATGTGATGCAAGATCGTCATTGGCTACCCACCACACACCTGATGTGATGCAAGATCGTCATTGGTTACCCACCACACACCTGATGTGATGCAAGATCGTCATTGGTTACCCACCACACACCTGATGTGATGCAAGATCGTCATTGGTTACCCACCACACACCTGATGTGATGCAAGATCGTCATTGGCTACCCACCACACACCTGATGTGATGCAAGATCGTCATTGGTTACCCACCACACAGCTGATGTGATGCAAGATCGTCATTGGTTACCCACCACACAGCTGATGTGATGCAAGATCGTCATTGGTTACCAACCACATACCTGATGTGATGCAAGATCCTCATTGCTTACCCACCACACAGCTTATGTGATGCAAGATCGTCATTGGTTACCCACCACACACCTGATGTGATGCAAGATCATCATTGGTTACCCACCATACAGCTGATGTTATGCAAGATGTCATTGAACACAAGCGTACAGTATTTTGAAGACCAACTTCTCTAGGATGTCTTCATGGCCCAGACCAACTTCTCTAGGATGTCTTCACCCCCAGACCAACTTCTCTAGGATATCTTCATGGCCCAGACCAACTTCTCTAGGATATCTTCACGTCCAGACCAACTTCTCTAGGATGTCTTCACGGCCCAGACCAACTTCTCTTGGATGTCTTCACCCCAGACCAACTTCTCTAGGATATCTTCATGGCCCAGACCAACTTCTCTAGGATGTCTTCAAGCCCAGACCAACTTCTCTTGGATGTCTTCACGCCCAGACCAACTTCTCTAGGATGTCTTCACGCCCAGACCAACTTCTCTTGGATGTCTTCACGCCCAGACCAACTTCTCTTGGATGTCTTCACGCCCAGACCAACTTCTCTTGGATGTCTTCACGCCCAGACCAACTTCTCTTGGATGTCTTCACATCCAGACCAACTTCTCTTGGATGTCTTCACGTCCAGACCAACTTCTCTTGGATGTCTTCACGCCTAGACCAACTTCTCTAGGATGTCTTCACGCCCAGACCAACTTCTCTTCGATGTCTTCTCGCCCAGACCAACTTCTCTAGGCTCTGCTGGTTACTATCTACGTTTTGTTGCCAATTTTGCAAATCGCCAGACCTTGAGGTAAACTTCTACCTCATCCCCCACGAAAAGGAAAATGGAAAAGTAAGATTCCGGAGAGAATATGGGAATGAGGACCAGAGCAGGGACAATTATCATGTGAGTTACGTGCCAGTTTACTTTCACCACCGGTTTCTGTGAATTTTCTCTCTTTATTGAGTTGCATGTTGATGCTATTCAGAAAGGTTTCGGAGCAGTTTTGACCAAACCCGATGTGGAGAGAAGTGAGTAATCAGTTTTGCAAGTCAATTTAAGAAACAAGACAAGAGTATCCTGCACTAAAGCTACAATTGGAAGTTGGCGATCACTGGGAAAGTTCGAACAGTTTGTTTGTCGTTTAACGCCGCACTCATCAATATTTCAGCCATATAGCAGCGATCTGTAAATAATCGAGTCTGGACCAGACCATCCAGTGATTAACATCATGAGCATCGATCCACACAATCGGGATACGATGACATGCACTAACCAAGTCAGCGAGCCTGACCACCGGATCCCATTAGTTGCTTTTTACGACAGGCATAGCTGCCTTTTACGGCAAGCATGGGTCCTGAAGACCTATTCTACCCCGGATCTTCATCAGGTAGTTAGAACTGAACATATACTCTTACCAGCACAAAACTGTCAGTGTTGTCTTGATAATGTATGTCACGGATTGTCATATTCATGATATTGTATTTTATGATGGTTTGCATGTATATGATTTATTACGAATCTTTGTATACACCTTACACTCGCGATATTGTGTATTATCGTACATGTAATTTCTCGATGTATATAGTAGCATCATACCTTTATATATTATGTAGACCATCAGACTCAAAACAATACTGCTTATATTTTCATTGCAGGGCAGACTCGCACCCAACCGGATAATGTCATTATGCTACTTTTACGTGTATACATCATTTATAAGCATAAATAATATATAAATTTAAATGATAAGTCATAACCCTGGAGCACTGACGTCACACAGTAAAAGTGCTATTATATAATTACACAATGTCCATCATTTGTCATTGAGGATTGTTGATTGACGCCCCAAGTGACATGCATTAATGTCAATCAAGTCTATCTAATATGCCACCTGTCATGCATGTCAAGTCTCAGCATCATTATATAAGTCCATTCAATTGAAAATGTAAAATATTCATTGCGTACCTTGTCCAATCAGAATGTTTACTACTGTAAATGCATTCACTATCATGTATAACACTGACTGTATACTTTGCTGTGCGCGAAATAAGCACACATTAAAACCCAAACTAAGTAAGTTAAGCAAGTACTGGTATGGGGAGAGACACAGCCGGGGTGGCGGTCAACTCACGGTCACACTCATGGTCGATTCCTACCAGTGTCTGTGTGATAAAGGCTCTACATACAATAAGACTTAGGTCTTATGTTCGATCCCATATGGTCAGTCTGTGACCTTGCTACGCCATTACTTCAACTATACTTGGGATACGTACGTGACATATTATAATTTTACATCGTCGTACGTGTCACAAGTAACAATAGAAACATTTCGCTTTGTTGGATAAAAAAACCCTTTATGGCCCATCAAATATTTTGTACCTTGTACTCATTTTAGTTTGTTTTTATTTTGCTGTGTGTATTCTCACGTTCTTACCAAACCAAGACATGTTTCATTGACTGACTGCACTGTATTATTAAACTCCCGGACGTCTGATGAAACCTCCTGGTCGTTTCCGGACGCCCCCGGACGTTCCCGGACGTTAAATAGTAGGACCCCTATTTTGCTGTATGAAGGAAAGTAATTTGGTGTATTGAGCTTTACATTTGTTTTTAAAAGTGAAAACCACTCTCCATTGCAGTCAGAGACCCCACTGAGGAAGTTGACGCCGTTTTGAACATTTCAGTTATATCACGGGGTATCAACTTCATGTGGGAGGAAAGCCTGAAGTGATGCAGGTCGCACACATTCATCACTGGGGAAGCCAGTCAGCACAGCCGTGGTTCCTACAAGCCAGGCGACAAGTTGACAACATGATAAAGCTTATTACTATAAAACTTTATTCAAAACAAATTTACAAACGTTATGAGGGAAAGCACCAAGTAATCAATTAAACAATAATTTGTTCTTAAGTGCTCCAATGATCAGGGGTGTCATTAAACAAGAAAAAGTAATGATGAAAATGTGGTAACAGCTTCACAGGTTTATTACTAACAACTAATTGTACCAATAGACGACAATAAACATGATGAAATGAGCCAAACCTGTGATAATAGGATCTGATTAATTAAATCACAGCAAATACACATGCGGCTGAGCCAAGCAGCTGTATTACAGTAATAACATGAGGGTAGCTAAAACAGCACTTTGACAACACAACAACAACAAACTTATCATATCCTAGGGGATAAAGACACAAGATATCTTGAAAAAAAGTAGATGTATATACAGACCTGAGAGAGGTAAGTCTCTCCTGGACTGCCGGGGAATACAATAGTCTGAGGCGCTTAACCAACGTGTTTCTTAACAAACTACCATGTCCATACTGATGATGTAAGTATCAAAATAAAGCACTGAACATTAGCTATTCAATGGTATCATTAAAGATTACAACAAGCTGTGTACAATTATTGGGGAGGCAACAACGATCAAAAATACATGAGAAATATCGGAGTGTACATATTAATTCCCCCAATGTTTGAAAATCATAGTTACAAAAACATTTTCAAAATATGAATAAGGTAGTAAACATACAGGAGATAAACAAACAAACTAATGTATTGACTTGATATTTGTTGTTGAACGCTGCACTCTGCAATATTTCGGCTGTATAACGATTGTCTGTAAACAAAGAGTCTGGGCCAGAAAATCCAGTGATTGACATCATGATCATCGATCCACGCAATTGGGATACGATGTCAGCCATCAAACAAGTCAGCGAGCCTGATCACCTGATTCTGTTTTTTGCCTCTAACAACAAGCATAGTCATCTTTTACGGCAAGCATAGGTTGCTGAAGACCGATTCTACCCCGAGAGTATGCCATTATATCACAAGAGAATGAAATGGTTGGGTCACTAATTATCTAACACAGAATACAATGACACTGAACTACGACAACTGGTGTCGGAAATATAGCCAGGGTGATAAGGGTCGAGTTTATGACCCGGTGACAAATGATAGTATACCATCACTCGGACAATGAAGACAATATTTGACACAAGACAATAACTATTAAAATATTTATCATGGGCTTGTGGAGTTTGACTGCTTTCAGCACTATTCAAGAATATCAGGTCAGCTGAAGACCT